TTGAATTTAGCCCCCTAAGACTCATTTTGGACTTCCTGCCTCCATAGGTGTGAGATTATGTATTTGTGCAGTTTTAGTCCACTAAATTCATGGCAATTTGTTACAGCAGCAATAGGAAACTCATACAGGCAGGGTACGAGAACAGCGTCTGGTTGTGAAGATCTTGTCTGCTACTCCAAGAAATTCGGACTTCATCTCCTAGAGGGCAGGGAAATGACAGACTTGTAAGGACAGTGTGATTGGAAGGGTAGCTTAGAGAGAGAACTCGGGTGTTTGTGGGAAGGATGGATGGGGACCAGAGGCTGGAGACCAGAGAGGCTTTTTAGAAGCTCAGGTGAGAGGTGGTGGCTTGGTGTTCAGTCAGTGGGGATGGAGCAGTGGAAACAGATGGGGAAATGGTCTCCAAGTTCCCGAGGGCTGGATCAGTGAGTCCTGCGTCAGGTGGAGGAGCCCTGTGGGCACTGTGCACACAACACACACACACACACACACACACACACAAACACGGTGCTCCGTTGAGTGGAGGTAGGGCACACCAAAGTGGGAGGAACAGAGATCTTTTTAACTTTAATCAATAAAACAGTCATGCCGACGACTCCACAGGGGCCTCTTTTCCATCACTCTCCTGCTTCCCCTCTGCCTGAGACTAAGCCACCAAACATGTGTCAGGCCTTGTCCTAAGCACTTGACAAGTATTATGAAATAACACCCTCAGTCAGCCCTGTAAGGTAGGTACTGTTATCACCTCCATTTTATAGACGAGGAAACTGAGACACAGAAAGAAAAGTGAGACAACTTAGCTGTGATCACTTGGCTAGCAAAGAGTAGAACTGGCGTTCAGCCCAGGCAATCTGGACTTGGGAGCGAGGTGATGCTGGCCGGGAGGAGAAGGGCAATGGATGTGAACTTGAACATGAAGGTCCTGCAGGACATCCAGGTGGAAATGAACAGCAGGCAGCTGATGTGTTGGGTCTGGAGCTCAGAGCAGGGGAGATCTGGGGATTCATCACTGGCTGTGTGTGGCCAAGGCTATGGGTGTAAAAAAGAATTCCCAGAAGGGAGTGTAGATGTAAGACAATATGAAGGCTTAAGATAGAGCCTGGAGAGCGACGGCAGTTGGGCCGGAGTGAAAGAAACAGAAAAAGAGTGGCCTGAGAAGTCAGAGGAGGGCCAGTTGGGAAGATGTCCAGAAACCTGTCTTATCAGGGGCATAGGAAATGGTGGTCAGTGGTTTAGTATGAGGCTGAGAGGCCAAGCAGGATAGAGACAGCAGGAAGGGCACAGGGCACTGGGTCGTTGGTGACCACTGCCACAGCACTCTGAGTGACCCCGCGGGGCTGGCAGCCTGGTTGTCCAGGACTGAGGAGGGCACAGAAAGTCGGGACGTGGAGCAGCCAAGGTAGACTAGAAGCTTGGCAGCAAAAGGCAGGAGAGTGAGCTGCAGAAGCTCAAGGGAGATGTGAACCTTTTGTTTGTAGGCTGGAGGACATTTGGACATGTTTACAGTCACCCGTAAAAGACACTGAAAATTAGGTGAATATCTGTTGCTTTCACTTTCTCCTTCTTCTCCTAAGTGCAGTTTTCCTTTGGGGAACTGTCTTTGCCCCACATCTTGATGCATAGTCTGTTCCTACTCTGGAGGTAGTCATGTGACCCAGGCCTGGCCAATCAGGATGTTCTAACCCCCCAGCCACAGTGATCGGTTGATGAAAGGACATGTGACACAGTCCTACCCAATGAGCATTAGCCCGAGGACTTTTGCTGGAATCCTGTCTTCTGGGATTGCCAAGCTGGTCAGAAGGGAAGCCTGGATCTGTAGGGGGCCATCTTTGCTACCATGGAAAGAGGGCTTGCCTCAGAATGAAGTCAACACAAACGATAACAGAGCTGAGAAATGGAGAGTGACTACGTCCCAGTGACATCGTTTGAGTCCCCAAGTCTAAAGTATTCGCCAGCCAGTTTGTGCTAGGTTTTTGTGCCCCTTGAAATGGAGAGTTTGCCTTAAATAGGGAAGAGGAGGTATGCTTTGTGCTGGGCGAGGGCGACACCTGTTCTTGAAATCACTCACATGTTTGTTGGCCTTAGTTTCACACTACCTGTCGCAAGAGGCTTTGGTTCCTTGCCATGTGGGTGTCTCCACAAGTTGCCTGAGTGTCTTCGTGACATGGCAGCTGGCTTCCCCCAAACTGAGTTGTCTGAGGAAGAGGGAGCGAGAGTACCAGCTCAGGTGGAAGCCGCAGTCTTTTTAATAACCTAATCTTGCAAGTGACATACCAGCACTTCCACCATACCCAGTTTGTCTGAAGTCAGTGACTGAGTCCAGCCTAATAAGGCAGGCATATAGGAAAATTTGTGGGCATGTTTTTTAAGCCACCGTACCACCCGTCAGGCTTCCCCTGACATCTCATTCATGAGATCTGGGTCACGTGATTATACCTGAACCAGTCACTGGTAAGGGGAATGGATTGTCCTAAGCTTAGTCACTTTTGGGGCTGGGCTCAGCTTCCTGGAGGCTCAGAGCTGTGTGGGGGAAGGGAGATGCCTGAACAAAATCCAGGAGAAAGGAAAGAATAGATGCTGGTGAGAAACCAGCAGTGAGAGCTGTAGGCGGTCCCCCGGGGTGAGTAACTGTGATAGGCAGGGAAGATGTTTCCAAGAAAGAAGAGCTAAATTTAATACTTAATTAAGTCCCAGATTCTTCAGTAGTGTATACTTACCAGAAGAAGAAGGAAGCGTAAGATGAATGGAGTTCCCTTTCTGACTTGGAACTCTGTTTTGTCCCCTCTGCCCTAGAAATGTTGTAATTTATGTTCTCTGCAGAAACACAATAATGTTTTTTATCACTGGGTCTTTGCAAAAATGTGAACTATTTCATAATGAAAGTCAAGGTTGTGCAAATTAAAGGATCTAATGTGAAGCCAAGACAGGGTTTTTTTTAATTGAAGTGAAATTCAATTAAAATTCATAAAATTAACCATTTTAAAGTGAACAATTCAGTGACATTTACAATGTTGTGCAACCACCCCTGTCTACTTCCAAAACACTTTTATCACCTCAAAAGGAAATCCCATACTCATTAGTTGTCACTCCCCAGTCTCCCCTCCCCCTGGCCCCTGGCAGTCACCAGTCTGCTTTCTGTCTGTATGGATTGCCTGTTCTGGACAGTTCATGTACATGGAATCATTTAAGATGTGGCCTTTTGTGTCTTAATGCTTTTATTGAAGTATAGTCAGTTACGAAGTGTCAGTTTCTGGTGTACAGCGTAATGTTCCAGTCATGCAATATATTCGTTTTCATATTCTTTTTCATTAAAGGTTATTACAAGATATTGAATATAGTTTCCTGTGCTATACAGAAGAAATCTGTTTTTTATCTATTTTTTATATATAGTTGTTAACATTTGCAAATCTCAAACTCCCAAATTTATCCTTTCCCACCCTCTTTCCCTGGTAACCATAAGATTGTTTACTATGTCTGTGGGTCTGTTTCTGTTTTGTAAATGAGTTCATTAGTGTCCTCTTTTTTTTTTCTTAGATTCCACATATGAGTGATATCATATGGCATTTTTCTTTCTCTTTCTAGCTTATTTCACTTAGAATGACGATCTCCAAGTCCATCCACATTGCTGCAAATGGCATTACTTTGTTCTTTTTATGGCTGAGTAGTATTCCATTGTATAAATATACCACAACTTTTTTTTAACATTTTTTTATTGAGCTATAGTCATTTTACAATTTTGTGTCTACCACAACTTCTTTATCCAGTCATCTGTCATTGGACATTTAGGTTGCTTCCATGTCTTGGCTATTGTATATAGTGCTGCTATGAACATTGAGGTGCATGTATCTTTGCAAATTAGAGTTCCCTCTGGATAAATGCCCAGGAGTGGGGTTGCTGGATCATATGGTAAATAATTAGAGTTCCCTCTGGATAAATGCCCAGGAGTGGGGTTGCTGGATCATATGGTAAATCTACTTTTAGTTTTTTGAGAAATGTCCATACTGTTTTCCATAATGGTTACACCAAACTATATTCCCACCAACAGTGTAGGAGGGTTCTCTTTTCTCCACACCCTCTCCAGCATTTATCGTTTGTGGACTGTCAAATAATGGCCATTTTGACTGGTGTTAGGTGATACCTCATTATAGTTTTGATTTGCATTTCTCTGATAATTAGTGATATTGAGCATTTTTTCATGTGCCAATTGGCCATTTGTATATCTTCCTTGGAGAATTGCTTGTTTAGGTCTTCTGCCCGTTTTTGGATTGGGTTCTTTGTTTGTTTGTTATTAAGTTGTATGAGCTGTTTATATATGCATAATGTTTTTGAGGTTCATTTGTGGTAGTATCAGAAATTAATTCTCTTTTATGACTGAATAATATTCCATTGCATGGATATATTACATTTTGTTTATCCATTCAATTATGGACCTTTGTGATGTTTCCACCTTTTGGCTACTGTGAATAGTGCTGCTATGCACATGCATGCACACATCATATATTTTTTTGAGTACCTGTTTTCAATTTTGGGGGTGTACACCTAGGAATGAAGCTGCTGAGTCATATGGTACTTCTGTGTTTCACTTTTTGAGGAACTGCCAAACTGTTTTCTAAAACAGCTCCGCCACTTCACATTCTCACCAGCAGTGAACGAGGGTTTCAGTTTCTCCACATCCTTGCCAGCACACGTTATTTTCCATTGTTTTGAACATGACCACCCTAGGAGGTGTGTGGTGGCAAGAGAGATTTTAGAGGTGCCCATTAATTACCTAATTATCTATTTCAGACCAACAGGGTCACAGTCTTACATTTGATTTTTGTAAAACAAGAAAAAAAAAGATGCAAGGAAGAAAACTAGGCTTTTACCCCTCATCTATCCCAATAAGGCGGGGCTTTTGAACAATCTGAGGTTAGAAATGTCCTCAGAAATGCCCGTAGGAAGTAAAATTCACTAAGATGTGCATAAAAATGAAAACTAACAGGAGAAGAGTGGAAACCTCTACTGACAACACTGAAACAGAAAAATGGGAAGAGTTGTGATCTCCTTGTTACAACGGAACAAAGCAGGAAAAAAAGAAAAACAGCCAGAAATCAACTTGTTACATGTATTTGTATTAATCTGACCATGATCAGAAGAGTTTAATGGAAATGCACTCAGACATATCTAGCATTTATATTTATCTATATGAATACGGATAGATAGCGATGCAGATACAGTAGAGACATATCTGGGTCCATTTCCAATAAACTCTTGGTGTTGTCTGTACTTATACAGATAGAGAGGTGTTGATAGATGCAGATATGGATATGTGAATAGATCTCTTTTACCTTTCAGTCGTTTCCCTGCTTCTCCAGGAGTGTATTCAAAAAGCACAACCCACATACACACGCGACACACATAACTGCATTTAAAGTCCATTAATTTAAATAGTCTTTACTTCACTAAAATATTTGCTGAGCATCTATTAAGTGTCAGGCAGCGTTCTAGGCTTTGGAAATGCAAACAGTAAAGTTCCTGCCATTGGCCCTACTTTAGAGTGGGAGGCAACAGATGACAAGGAAACGACCTCATATGTATTTAGTAGTGATACATGGTCTGAAGAAAAATGTAACAGGTTACGGGGGTGCAGCGTGATGAGGTGGGTGCTATGGGATATAATAGGGTGCTCAAGGAAGAAGAAACCAAAATGAGGTCTATGATCTGAATGAAGTGAAAGACTGAGCCATGTGTATACCCGGGGATGGGCATTCCAGCCAGATGGAGCAGCAAATGCAAAGGCCCTGAGGCGGGTGGACTCGGCATGCTGGGAGACACCAAGGAGGTCTGTGTGTCTGGGCTGGAGTGAGCAGGAGGAAGAGTGGAAAGAGTGGCAGGTTGAGGAGGTAGTGAACTGTCAGATATTAGAAGTCAAGGTGAGGTATATGGCATTTACTCTGACATGGGAGCCATTAGAAGATTTTTAGCACGGGAACCACATGCCAAGACTTGTGTTTTTAAAGGATCTCTGTGGAAGTTATTTGGAAAAAATGACTTAATTGTGAGGGAAGAATGGAAGCGAGGAAACACTTTAGGAGGAAACCCTAGCAATCATCAGGATGGGAGATAATGGTGGCTTGGACGAGGGTATGAGCGATGGGGGTGGGGGATACAGCAGATTCCGGACATAATCATATCTAAAGGTGAAGCCAACAGGATCTGCTGATGTACTGCAGGTGTAGAGAGAGATAAAGAGGAGCCAAGGACAGTTCGTCACTGGTGGTGGTGATGTATTTGAGCAGCTGAAACACTTAAGGCAGAGTTTCCGGGGCAGGGGCAGGGGCAGGGGACTGAGGCGAGCAGAGCTGAGCTCTGGTTACCTGCAGAGTTTGAAGAAGTCCATTAGGAATCTCAGTGGGAGATGTCAAGTAAGTGGAGTTCATGAGGGATAGGGGCTGGAAGAAACAACGTGGGACTCTTCAGGGAATTTGTGGTACTTAAGGCGACAGGATTGGATGAGACCGTCTAAGGCGCGTAGATGGGCTGAACCGAGGGTGTGTCCATGCTGGGAGGTCAAGGAAGTGAGGAGGGACCAATGAGGGATGGGGAGAACCACGTGAGAGTCAAGGCCAGGGAGGCAGGTGACAGGAGTGTCTCCAGAAAGAGCAGTGATCAACCTGGACAAACCTGCTGATAAGTCCAGTAAGATGACGATTGAGAATTTGCTGTGGGATTCTGCAGTGGGGCAGCCATCAGGGACCTTGATGAAAGCATTTCTTTGAAGGGGCAGGGCTCAGAGAGAAGGGGAATGGAGGAAGAGGGGATGGAGGGAAGCCCTAGGGAGGTAAGCGTCAGGAGACGATTACTTTTGTAAAGACCAGAGGTGCTATAGCATGTTGGTTTGCTGAGGAGAATGAGTCAGGGGACAGCAGTGCTCTGGGGATGTCCTTCAGTGGAAGAGAGATGGCAGGATTTTGATGAAACACAGGCAGACCACCTATTCCAACAGTGGACACTTTTACAAACACAAATAATCTTCCTGTGGATAAGCCTGTTACTGAACTTTGAGTTTGAACCCCTTGGGGTTTATGTAATAATAATATGCAAATAAATGTAATAATAATAAATAATAACTGTTAATGATATGTAAGTAAAGCATCTACATATTCTCTTAGCACCAAATCCATCTGACAGTAGTTTATTATTTATTGCTACTTTTAAAAATTGTGGTAAAATGTGTATTAAATTTTCCATCTTAACCACTTAAGTGTACAGCTCGTTGGCACTAATTACATGCACAGTGTTTTGCAACCATCATGACTATCTAGGTCCAAAACTTTTTCATTACCCCAAACAGAAACTCTGCACCCACTAAACTCTAATTCCCCATTCCCCCCTCTCCCCAGCGCCTGACAAACCACCATTCTACTTTCTGTCTCTCTGAATTTGACTACTTAAGTACCTCGTGTCAGTGGAATCACGCAGTATTTGCCCTTTTGGGTCTGCCTTCTTTCACTTAGCATGATGTCTTCAAGGTTCATCCATGTTGTAGCTTGTGTCAGAATCTTCTTCCTTTTTTTTTCTTTCTAATTTTAAAAATGTTTTTGATTTTTTTGGGGGGGGTATTACATTTATTTATTTATTTTGATGGAGGTACTGAGGATTGAACCCAGGACCTCATGCATGCTAAGCAGGCACTCTACCACTGAGCTAGACCCTCCCCCCGAGAATCTCCTTCTTTTTTAAGACTGAATAATAAAATATTCCTCTGTATTGACTGACCACATTGTACGTATCCATTCATCCATTGGTGGACATTTGGGTTATTGTTACTTTTTTCACTTAAAAAAAAAGTAATACTGGGGACAGTGGGACGGATTAGAAAAGGACACAGGGAAACTTAAGAGGATGATGCATATGTTCCTATCTGGATTGTGGTGATGTTTTATAGATGTATGTACGTTAGAAGTCATAAATGAAACACTTTAAACATACAGTCTGCTGTATGTCAGTTACACCTCTATAAAGCTGTAAGCAAAGGTAATATTTAATTAATTCAAAGAGTTCCCAAGGGGTACCCAGTAAATAACAGGTCTCCTTTTTTCTGGTCACCAATTCTCCTTCCCAGGGAGAAACCATTATCCATTCGTTGCCTTCCAGACATAGTCTAAGCACACATGGGCTTATATGTTATTTCCTGCCCCACCATTTAAAAAATCTAAATGTTAGCAGTTTAGTACTCACTGTTTAGTACCTTGTTTTTTTCTCTTGGTAATATCTTAGAGATGCTTCCT